TCATTATTATTTTTAAAAATTAAACTTAATATGTCAACATTTAAAAAAATTTTATTGATATTTAAAAGTTTAATGTAAAAATTTTTGTGATAAAACTAACAATATTAAGATTAAAGAATTGAAAAGACACTTTATAAAATTAAGGGACTAAATTGAAACCTCATATGGAGTTAGAGGACTAAAAATATACTTTAACTAAAAGTGTTTAAAGATCGGACAAGATTGGGTTTGTAGTCAACATGATGCCCAGTCTTGATGAGGCCAGGTTACTAATTTTTGGCTCGAGGACCAGTCTTACCCTGATTGACCCTAGAGCAAGACAAGACCAGGTTTGGTTAGAAGACTAAGATTAGGTTACAAGACTTCCCTATCTCAAAAATGGAATCTATTGGGTCTTAAAAGAATCAAACTAATTTCCAAAAATAATAGAGCCTAATATCCAAAAAAAATAAAACCTAACATATCACATGAGCTCATAATTGAAATGGAGTCTAATGGCCATTTCTTATATACTTTATTTAGCTTTTTTTATAGTTTATCAGCCATTAAAAAGAAGCTCAAACCCTATGATCCCCATTGTTAACAATATATTAAACACACACAAAACAAAGCAAAAATTTATAGATCAAATCGAAAGCAGAAATAATTAAGAGATAGTGAAGTACCTCATCTAATTTTAGGGCTTCAAGAAGTTTCTTTTTCTCCCAAAAGTAGCACCTAAGATTAATTTTTTTTAGAAAAAATAAATATACCCTTGACCAAGCCAAACAGTTAGGACCTTAAACCCGATACCTGATCTAACCTGATGTATAACTTGAACTTAGTCTCCCATTTAGTCTTTAGACTAAATTTCACTAGGTTGAAACCCGATCCAATGTCACTAGGTAGGATCGGATAGACCGGGTCTTTAGGTTCTTTGCACAAGCCTAACTTTAATCATGCCGACTCAAAATTTCAATTGTGAAGCATTATGCATTGACAAACATAAAGATACACTTGTAATATAAAAAAGATATCATAATACTACAAAAAAATAAAATAAAATAATGAATATAAAATGTGTAATATTTTTTTTTGTGAGCCATGAAAATTATAAATATAAAAATAAGAGACATTATATAAGCCCAAGTGGTTTATTGGCCTAATGACACTAAAGTATGCCTCTCTGGTTTGGAAAAAATTAATTAAACAATCTAAATTTAACACTTTCTTTTCTCTCCCTTTACAGGATTGGATACTTTGAAATGCAAAAATGATGCGGGCAAACCTTGTGCTAGGAAGATCTCCTGGAAACGACTTTTCTCTCATGTGTGCTGGAACATATGGAAAGAAAGATGTAAAATCATATATTCTGAGGAAGATGCTCCTAACAAAGACATTGCATTCACTAGCATTCAGGATATTCTTAGTGATCAACTCCTCCAATCAAAAATCAACTTCTTAACTCAACAGAGTGATAGATCCAAAGCTAAGTGGTTATCTCCTGAAGATGGATGGATCAGACTTGACATAGATGGCTCCACCAATAATCAAGGTGCAACTTCTTGTGGCGGCCTAATCTGAGATGGCAAAGGAAATTGGATTAAAGGCTTCTCCAAATACCTTGGTTACCACACAAGTACGACAGCAGAGCTTATGGGCATCTTGGAAGGACTTAACATTTGCTGGGTGAAAAAATTTAATAAAGTTAACGTCTACTCTGACTCTACAAAAGCTCTCACACTTATACACAATGAATTCTCCATGAATCACCCCCTTGCTGCTACTATCAACAAAATTAGAGATCTTGTTATGAAAGACTGGATGGTCACTTTTGATCACGTTTTTAGATAAGCAAATAAATGTGTGGATTGGTTGGCTCACCAAGCTCCTGTCAAAAGCCCTAGAGTTCATATTTTTGATACTCCGCCACTTGGTTGTATAAATTTCCTATACGCTGATATGACACATCATATCACTTAGCACGGTTTACCCGTGGCCTTTTATTCAAAAAAAAAGTATGCCTCTCTCTTGTACTAGGTGGAATTAAGTCATTGATAGGGTAACAAGTTGAGAGTTCGAATCAGACAAGGTTTTGGTAAGTGGTAAATGACGCGCGCACGTGTGTTATAAAGAAAAAAAGATAATATTAAAATTGATATATTTAATAAAATTTTAATCTACTCAAAGTTTTTTACATTTTAAGGTAGAGAAACTCTTTCAAAAATGCCCTATAATTTGAGAGGGAAAGAGTATTTAATATAACAAGTAAAAATCTGTGACAAATTTTGTCTATGTTAATTTCAATAGCCTAACTAATTAATCTTAATTTGTATTTAGATGGATGGATTTGAATTTTAAATTTAAAATTCATGTATTTAAAATTTTTTATTTAGATATGTTAAAAAATGTCAGATAAAAAAAAGATAAATTGAAATTTGAAGTGAAAAGGGAAGTTTGGGATTTTAAAATTACTTCTATTTTTCAATAAATAAGAGATGATAATAAGAAATAAGAAAATATACATGAATTATAGAGCCATTAATAATAAAAATTGAAAAGAGAACAAAAAATTTGAAGTAATTAAAATTTTAAATGATTAAAACTTAAATGTAATTTGAAATTATAAAGAAATTTTAATAAGAAATAAATAATTTAAATTTATAAATTTTTGTATATCAAAATAAAAATTTTGCTCAAATTTAAATCTTATTCAAATTTTCATTAATCCAAAAGAAAAAGATATTTTTTTTGGATCTAATGAAATTGAAAGGGATGAGCATGAAGAAAAGTATAGAGTTTTCTTCTATTTTGGTATTTTTCTTTGGATTGAATTTTCATTTTCTTTTGATTGCCGATATGCGGAATAGACAGTTGGTTGTATCGTTTGTATGAAAGTTACCGAGCAATTGGGAAAGCTACCCGACGGTAAACAACAATGACAGGTGGACCCCACGCAGGGCATGCGTGCTCCTTCTTTTTTTAATAATTTATGCTTTTAATTTTTAACAACATTTTATATTTTGGTTCTTTACTTTTATATAATTTTTTTAAGGTTTTAAACTTAATATTTTTAATTTTATTAAAAAAAGATAGACAATAAAATTTTAAATATCAAAATTAATAAAACGTACTTAAATATTGATAAGTTAAGATTAATTTTTTTAAAAAATAATAATAGTTGATATAAAAAAATTCATTCAAGATAATCGAATAAAAATAAAATATTAAATTTTATATAAAATTAAAAGACTTTGTGTGTATTTTTATTAAAAAATAGTTTCAAATGTCTTACGCTTGCGAAGTCTAGGGTGGTAGAAATTCATAATTTTTGTAATGAAAGACAATATGATCACTCAATTAATAAATTATTTAGGCTTATACCAAGCTACTCCCTTCTTTTCTATATATAAGAGAAAAAAATTATGTCACACAATTTAAAAAAATTAATTAACTATAATAATTATATTTGAAAATAAAAAAATTAGACTAAAATATTCTATATTAATCAACATAAGCAAGCATTAATTATTTCTCATTAATGTAAATTACGAGGAGAATTTAAAAAATGTGTAATAAATGCTTATTGAAATATGTGATTTTGTTTATATAAAAAATAAGTAAAAAATTATAGTTTTTCTTATAAGCAAAAATAAAATAATAACAAATTTGTTCACATGACACGTCTCTAATTAAGCTGTTGTCGCTTAGTATTAAAATAGTTCCTTTCTTTACCAACATCAAATAATGAAATAAAAAAAAAACCCCGCAAATAATACCTAAATAGTTGAATGTCCTAACCGAATATATGAGTTTTAATTAAATAAATAATAAAACACCATACCAAAAATAAATAAATAAAACCAACTTAGATTATATACAAAAATATATTATTCGATTTGTAATACTCGTGCCCTTATTCCTTTTCTATGAAAAAAAGAAAAAAAAAACCTCCCCACAATTAATACCATGTGCGCCCACCGATTACAAATTTAATTTCGTAATTTTTACAATTTTTCAAGAATTTTGAATTCAGGCGTGTAGACCATATGTTTGTCATGTCAGTAAATATGTCTTAGTTTAGACTGTCTAAGATAGCTGCTCGGAGTGTTAATTAAATTTTTGATAAAGTTTAACTCAATTCAAAACTCGATATGAACCAACTTGTATTATTTTAATCTCGCGAGGAAATGAGTCAGTACATACAAAATGAACCCAACTTATTTTCAAAGTTTAACCAAATTTTGAAATTGGATTTGGTGAATCAAAGAAACTTAGTAAGAGCAATACAATCCATCAATATCGATACATTGATTACTATTTATAAATCAATGTTACGATTCGCTTAATTAGATTTCGTGTAAGGCTGTAGAAAGAGGATCAGGCTCTCTTTTCTATTGATTTTTTCTTTGTCCATTTTTTTCATAGACAAACGAATATAATGCGTAAGAACGCCTAAGAACTTGCCATTTTCTTCTTGTTTTAATCATTTGATTTTACATAACATGCCCAATGATTGTGTTTCTTTTTTATGTTTTGAAAAAGTGTTAAAAATTCATAATTGCCCCGCTTCATCATTGTAAAATATCAAAACATTTCTCATAACATATAAAATTTAATGATAAAAAAGAAAAAAAACTATTATTGAGAGATTACGGCATTTTAAAAAATGAATGGAGATATCAATAAAAGGCTTACTCAAAACATGAATGCAAAAACTTAACCTCCATGGATGGATATGTGCAATAAAGTTTTCAAGTTCATACTCGAAAGTTCAGAAAAATTGGTTTAGCTTTCCACTATGTTTGGCTACTTTGACGCATTTATTTCATAAACTGAAATTGCTTTACAAATGCTAAATTTTTATTTTTATTTTCTAATATCATTGGATTTGCAAAATTTAGTTTTCACACCTAAATTGAAATTATAGAGATTTCCAAACTTTAGTGGGGAAGCTTTGGCATTGTCTTACTTTAATTTATTTTATTTTTTGCCCCCACAAAAGAGAACAAGAGTTTAAGTTCAATTTGAAGTACTCCACTTAGGTAATTATAATATTAAACAAACAAATAAATTTTATATTCACAGAGTAAGCCAAACCAAAAACCCCTCTCCATCTCACTCACTTATTTGGTTCTTTTTTTTTCCCCCTTTCCAATTTTCAACTCCATTCCTATTTTTATTTTTTCCATTTTTGGGCTTCATTTTTCTTTTTTGTTTTCGGTTCCAAAATTCCGATGTGCCAGAGAGCGAGTGGCACACGTATCTCTCCCTCACATAATTACAAGCAACAAAAAGGGGATTTCAGCGGCAACTTGCTTTCCCTCGTCAGCATTACGCATTAGTAACTAGTAACGCTCCTCCACGTACGCACGACGTCGTTCCAAGACCCACTTGGCTTCCCACTTGCCCGGTAGCCTTTGGGCCTGTCCCCACCACCACCAACTTCTTCCTTCTCTTCGGCGATGCGCCGCTCTCCGACGACGACGACGATGTCGACCACGATCTGTCCGGCGATGACCTCTTCGACGTCACTCTCACTGGGTCAGGTTCACCCGAGTTCACTCTCAGTGGGAAATTCAGCAGAGCCCGGGAGCCTCGCATCCTGTACGCGGCTCGATCGTAGGCGAGAGCCGCGTCTTCGGCCGTCTCGAATGTTCCGAGCCAAACCCTAGCACCGTTCTTCGCCGGATCACGGATCTCCGCCGCGAATTTCCCCCACGGCCGTTGTCTTACTCCTCTGTAATGCTTTCCCTTCGACGGAACTGCGGCCGGTGCGACTGCTTCGGCCACCTCCTCTTGCTTTACCACTGGAGGGCCCGCGGGGGAATCCAGCACCGGCAAGACATCGGGTTCCGATTTCACTGTAACAGACGGGGTGAAACCAGAAGAAATGCTTTCGGGCGACCCGACATCGAGGGAGGGAACCCACCCGACGTGAACTGCATCGCGGAGGACGCCGTAGAGCACCATGTCTTCAGAATCGTCTTCCTTGAGCGGCAATTCGCCCCAGTTGTCCGTCAAGCACGGGTACAAGCTGCTGAAACTGGAGCTCCGAGTATAAACCGGATCGGAACCCGAAGAAGTATCCGAATCAGCAGGAAAAGCAGTCTCGAGGTCACCGAGCAAGTGGAGTCGAATTGACTCCAACCAGGCTGAATCCGACTCATAGGTAGCCTCTCCGTACATATCGTCACGGCAATCTCTTCCTCCGGCGAGCAGTTCCGGTCCAGAGTGAGAAACACACAGAGAAAGGAGGGATTGAGGGGGGAGGGAGAGAGAGGATGATTAAGAAGAAATTGAATATTCGAAGTTGGAAATCAGAGGCATTAAAAGGGAGGGGTATTTATAGGGGTTTCGGTTCATGAACCTAACGCTAGAAGTAAAAAAAAAAAAAAAAATAGAGAGAGGGATATTTATCTTAACCCAAAATCATTAATTTATTAATTTATTTAATAGCTGAAGGTCGTGGGCTTAGCTTCCCGGAAGTTTCAATGTGCAAAATGCGAAGTGATTATGGGAATGGGGATAAATATTCATCACGTGCTTTATATTTGTATTCGAATTTTCAATAATTAACGAAAAAAGACATGCCTGACGTCAAGGGCATTACAAGGGCACCCAACTTGCTGGCCGTTGTTGGGGGGAATCGCCGAGTTTTTGGCGGAGCGACGGTGACGGACTGACGGGAGCGGGGAAAAAACAGAAAACGACAAAAAAAGAGGAGAGAGGAAATCGGGACGAGGAATTGAGAGGCGATGAAAGAGAGGAGGCAACTTGACAAACAACAATGCGGATACAACGATTGTGGACACGAGAAGAAGCTGCATTGTGGATAAGTTTGTTGCAAAGTCAGTCAATGTGGCTCTTCCCGTCCATTAAGTTTGTCTGTGAGGGTCCCGCTTTTCACAGTAACTTTGGCTTTTTTAAGGGGGAGAGAGCGCGTGCATCCTCCATAGCTTCCTGGAAGGTATCTCTTGCCTAAGAGCTCAATCTCTCATTCACATTACTATTCACATCATTTTCTTCTTTAATTGAATTGATGATATGTCAGTAAAATAGGAGTGCCACTAATTAGCAAATTCTTGATCTTGGCTGCTTATCAATTTTTATGGGTATGAGTTGGAGTCTTCTTATTGGATTTCTCTTCTTCTTATTGGATTTCCTTGTAACATCACCTTTATATTGCACTTGCAATACTTATGGGTCTAATACTCCAACAGTTTAGAATTAGTAGATGCTTTTAATTAATTTACATTTTTTAATAAGTGAATTGATGACATTTAGAATTATATATTTTTTTTATATTTATCTTTATTTAATACTGTTGTTGCAATTAAAAACCTTATTAATTATTAATTACATCCTTAATTAAGAGTACTTTTGGAAAAAAAATCTTATTAAATACATCTTCAAAATGTGGTATATTTTTAAACATGATACTTAAAAAAAAGTGTATCTAACACTAAATGAGAGACCGTTTCAAATTATAAAATATTTTTGAATAAAATATCACATGTCAATAAATCACATTAAATATACTTAATAACTTTATTTTTTAAAAATAAAGACATAAAATTTCAAAAACACCTTTCATTTAATAACTTTACACTTAACTTTATTTTTTAAAAATAAAGACATAAAATTTCATAAACACCTTTCATTTAATAACTTTACACTTAATTATTATCTATATATATATAGAGAGAGAGAGAGAATATTATTGGAATAAGTCTCTTAATAAGACCTTAATCTTCTTAAAGTTTATGATATTTTAGGACGTTAATTTTTTTTTAAAAGTATCTTATAATTTAAAACAAAGAGAGTATATGATAACCCTATATCAAGGAATTAGAGAATTGATATATCACAACTATACAAATGGGTAGTGAATCTTTCCAAAGCAGCTTAAACTACTTTGATGTACTCTTTCTGTTTTTTAATATAAGCAAATTTTAACCAACTTATACAGTTTAAGAAAATTAATTAATCATAACAATTACATATAAAATTAAATTGTTTTGACTAAAATGTCCTTGTAATTAATGTTTACTTTTTTTTATTTAATGATACTATCCTTTTAAGAGGGGAAATTTAGAAAAATTAAATGTAATAATATTTCTTGAAATTTCTAATCTTGCTAGTAAAAAACAATGAAACGGGTCATAGTATTTTTTTTTTTACAATAAAAAACAGAGGAAGTAAGTAACAAGCTGTGATTTGTGATTAGTGTAAAACTCTTAACATATTTTATCCATTTATTAATACAAGTCACTTTTAATTACTTTACCAAAATAAAAAAAATTATTTATATATTAAAATTATTTAGAAATTGATTTGTTTTCTTTTTTTGCCTCTATAAATACTATAATTTGTTTAAAAAAATAAGAAGGGTAATCTTGAAATAAAGCAATCATGCAATTGACACATTGCCCAATGGCAAAGTGATCGCTCTCTACAGGTGGAAGGTGGGCTCAATTCCCCCCCCAATCGGTTAGTTTATCCTCCTTTCAATTCCCAAAAAATATAAATATGTATATATATATTCTCTTTATTTAAAAATATAAAATATTTTTTAAAAAATTTAATATTAAAAAATATAAAATATTTTTAATCTTTTAAAATATAATTATTATTTTTTTAAAAAATATATTTATTAAATAACTTACTTTATATTTATTTTAGAGTATTTATAGGAGTAAATATAAAAAATAAAATTAATTTAAAAATAAATAATTATTTTATTAAAAGTAAGATTTAATTAAAAATTTTTTATATTTTTTAATAAAAGGAGTATTTTATAAATTTTTGTAAAGTAACTTACATTTTCGACCACAAAACTCACATAAATGATGGCCGACATGAAGGTACCGGGGAGATATTTTGTTATTGCTGAAGGTTGAAGTGTCCAAGTTAATCACCAAGTCATTTCAATTTAGATTTTTAACTGTTTTTTCCCATATTTTCCGTTTGTTAAATTTGTAGAAAAGCCAAGCAAAATTTCATCAAAATTAAAAGTAAAATAAAGGAAAAGGTGAAAACCTTGTGTTCTAGAATCCAACAATAAAAATCTGACCCACATTAGAAATTCAAACACACCAATCGCCAATTAGTTTTAGTAGTTTAGCATTGTTTCTCTAAAAGATAGTCTGTCCTAAAATTCAAATCTTAAAAAAAGAATGACACTTAAGTCTTAAAGAGATTAATTAATTTAAATTAAGTTTTAATTAATTTTAAAGTGCCAACAAAGTTTTTTAATTCTCCATTAAAAAAAGTATAAGAGTAAGATTTGTAAGTTCGAGTCTCAATTTTATAATATCATTGTGATATATTTGTGATTTGTTTTTTAAAATTTAATAGAAAACACAAATTTTTATCTTTAATATTCAAAATTATTAAGTCTAATAGCTTCACAAATTTTTAAGTTTGCTCTCAATTTTATGATTTTGTTGTGATAAATTTGTAATGTATTTTTAAATTTTAATAAGGAATACAAGCTTTTATTTTTAATGTTGAAAAGTATTAAGTCTAACAATTCTAAAAATTTGTAAATTTAACTTTTAATTTTATAAGTTTGTTGTGATCATTTACAACTTGTTTTCAAATTTTAATAGAAAATATGAATGTGCGTTTTTAATGTTAAAAAATATTAAATTTAATAGCTTCAAAGATTTACAAAAGACCTTATTTTTTTTAATATTGTGTATATCTTGAACATTAAAGATGAATATTTATACTCTCTCTTAAAATTTAAAAAATAAAATATAAATATATTATAATAAAGTTATAAAATTAAAAGTTGAATTTACAAATCTCACTGTTAGACTTATAACTACTAAATAACTAAAGAACGTTATTAGCACTTTGAAATTAACTGGTCCTTAGCTTCAATTAATTGATCTCCTTAAACTTTACCTGTCATTCTCACATCTTATCATGCATGGATAGACAACTGCTATTTTTTGCCAGACACTTGAGTCTGGTGACACAGATTTTTTTTTTTTTATCTGCATAAGAAAAGTCAAAGGTTCATATATGTATTTGTATTTCCGGGTCAAAAAAAAAAAAGTTCTTATATGTATATAAGTGTGTGTTTAAATTGTGAAGTTACAAAAATTAGTAAAACTTTATATTTATATGGTCCCACCCAACTTTTAGTTGGAGCCAAACATTGTTTTTGAAACCTGATTTTTATTTTTACCTTTTGTCAAACTTTTCTTTAAACTCTATCTAATCCTACAGATAGGACACCACGTATCTATTTCATTATAATTATTACTTTTTTCATTTTAAATTATAAAAAAAATTTTAAAAAAATTTTACATCTTAAAATAGAAATTACTTTAATAAAAATAAAATTTCATTAGTTCTACTTTTTTAATAATACTTTTTACATTATATTTTCTTTTTTTAATATTATTTTATAAATAAAGTATTAAATAAATGATATTTTTTAAATTTTTGTTTTATTTTAAAAAATAAGTTATAAGATATATTTAATAAGTATTTATTGAGATATATATATATATATATATATAATTTTATCTAAAATATTTTGTGAGAGGAGTCGGTGAGAATATTACTACTGCCACGTCCACATTCCTAATATTCCAGCTGCTATTGCGGCCGCCGCCACCATTGTGTGCGATGGGCAAACACAAAATTGATCCAAAAAATGTTGAAGGGGATCCAGCGGGCATGCGAAGGTCGCTTATTGAATTTCTATAGTTTATGGAATATTTTCTTCATTATACAATATAAATTATTTTTTTAGCAAAATATAATATATTGAATAAATTTTATACCCTTGCTTTATTTTATTTTTTTAATTAATTATATTTAAATGCTCTACATTTAACAATTATCATTAATGAGGCTTGTTTAAATATTCCACTCAATACTATAAATAGAAAGATTCAAACATTTTTATGAAATTAAAATATTAACAAACTTTTTTTAGGAGTGTGCATTAATTAATAATGACTTATTCTTTTTATTTTTAAATATAAGAGAAAATGATTAATTCATGTCGGTTTAAGAAAGTTAATTAAGTATAAAAATTATGTTTGAAATTAAAAAATTTAGACTAAATTATCCCGACAATTAATAAAACAAATTTGTCAAGTGAAAAAAAAACATTGACTTCATGGAAGAAACAGAAATATAGTCCTAAAATGTTAAGTCAATAAGGAAGAATGACAATCGCCAATTAGTTTAAGTAGTTTAGCATTGTCTCTGTGAAGGATAGTCCTAAAATTCAAATCTTACAAGAAGAATGACACTTAAGTCTCAAAAAAATTAATTAATTTAAATTAAAT